CATCTTTGCTAGTTTTCTTTTATTCGAAAGGAAAAAAAAAAGGTTCAGATGTGAATCTTTTTATCCAATTATTATTATTGTTGTTGTTGGTTTGTTTTTTTTTGTTTTTTTTTTAGAAAAAAATAAAAAAAAAAAATGAATAAACGAGTTTATAAAGAACTTAAAATTTTCAACCGTTTTTCCAAGGCGGCGGCCACGTAAAACGGTACCTCGATTTTATGCTCTTTCACATCAACCTGTGCAAGTATATTTCAATTGTTTGGATAAACCGAATTATTCGAAGAAAGGAATGAAAAGCAAATAATTGCACGTACAACCGACTGAGAATTCCCGAAAAAATTTTCTAACCCGGGAATTTTTTGTTTTAGGGTGACAAGAACTTTCTTTAGGATTGTGGTGTATTCATCATTGTCAGTATAATATTTGTTTTACAAGGATTTGATCACCATGTAGAGGGATCTAAACCGAATCATGGTTACCGTGTCTTTGGCAAGAAACGTTTCGATGTGATGTTCGGACATCTTTTTTTTTGCGTTTAGAAGACAGAGTCGCGTAAAACGTAAAACCGGTTTATGTGTTAATCCAACGTGTCACGTGGAAATGTGCGTTTTAAAAAAGTATTTTTTTTTTTTTTTTCGATAAATCCGGGTTAGTCCCGGGCATTGGGGAAGACGGGCACATTTTTCCTTAATAGTTTTCGAAATCTTCTTCCGATATGTGGTGCCTTCTGAATACTCACAGACATAAAACTTTTAGAATTGGTAAATTTTTGAACGCAATGAGAATCATTCAAATTTTGCCTAAAAATTCCTCATCTCCCTAAGCAAATTCGATAGGCCTCCTGTCAGGTGTGAGATGTTCTTCGAATGCATTAGAATTACCCCAATTAGCGGCTGGCAACGGCGGTTACAATAAATTTGGAAACATTGATGCTAGTAGGCATTACTCGTCATCGCCACTCGACCCTTCGGGGGGCGAGATCGGCACAAAAAACGATCCTTCTTCCTCCAAATCCACGAAACCGTCGCCGTCTTCGATGGATGAATGGAATTTTTTGTTTGATGATGTCACCGGCGAATATCGTAAAAACAACCCAGACGAAAGACCTCGGCGAAGATCGGCGTTGTTGAACGAGTTCCTGAAATCGAAGCGAAATTCCCGGTCGCCTGGTGGAACGCGTGACAATTCACCTTCAAGAAGATCTCGGGAAAAATCTTCCCCTCCCGGTTTTCAAAGTTATGCACCACCGCGGCATCACGATGGATACTATAGACCGCAAGGATCCTCCGTTTCACGCGTCGACCCATATTCCAGGAACTCTTCCCGACCGGAGAGAACGCATCAATCAGGGGACACCGCTTACCATAGGCTAGATAAGTTACCACCGTCAATAGACCCTTATAGATTTGGAAAGACGTCACCGGTACCTGGAGGTAAGGACGACGTTTCGTCTGAAGATGAATACCCGTGCATACAAAGATTGATGTCGAGTACCGACAAGGAATCATTTAAAAGAATGTTTTCAAAATTGTTTGATCAGCCCAAACCCAGTGCGAACAAGGCCAACGCTGTAGCACCCGCAATATCAAAATCCAAGTCGTCAAACAACACGAAATTGACGGAACCGTTGACAAATAACATAGGTCTCATTGAAAAGCACTTGTCGGAATTTGCAGAAAGGACGCCATCGTCTTCATCACAGAATGATGGTCGTGGCAAGGATACCACAGAAAGGTTGACACACAAAGAATCAGATCACGCGAAGTGGCTGAGAGAACATTACGAATTTCTTCCCTCGCTGTCTTCTATAACTGAAAAATTGAAATTATACAATTTGGCGATGCCACAAAAAGATGTGAAAGAAATATTTAAAAAAGAAATATCGAAATGTCAATCACTCGAACAATTACGTGATATCATATTTCTGCAGATATTTGGTGGCAAGGTATCGGCGAATCGCGCTGACACTGGTGATTCTCACAATTCTTCCTCGGGCGCATCCTCAGCTACTGAATCAAAATCTCACGTGCTAGACGATGCCGGCCTGCCGATTCCGTCAAAATACTCTTCACTACTCCAAGAAGCCATCTCCGCATGTCATACCCTTTTCAACGATCCTTACTTGGCATTCTCCATATTAGAGCAGACCAAACGACGGGGCATGATTTCCTACGTGCTCGGCTGTAGTACAGAAGTGTACAACGAGTTAATACTGGTCAGGTGGAATTGCTGGAGAGACTTATGTGGCATTGAAGAGTTGATGAACGAGATGGTTTCAAACGGGATTGACTTTGATCAACAAACTTTCCACATTGTAAATAATGTGATCTCTAAGGAGATATATGGCGGTGGTGACGGGAAAGACGTGGAAGTCAGGCGGAAGAGATTCGAAAGGTGGGATGAGGTCGACATGGAGGCTGTCAGGAACATTAAAAGGATTTTAAGCGTCTGGGGCAAAAACTAAATGTGCACAAATTTCCATGACTATTCAGGTAAAACTTTGAAAGGCATCTTGCATCAAAATTTCTGTACAAAATATCACCTTTTTTTTATTTATTTATTTATTCCATAAACGATTATTATAAAAAACTTCAAGCTTCTTTATTTATTTGTGTACCCCTCCGCTAACCTGAAGGCACGCATGTCAATTAAAATGGGAGATCAGGGGGTAAAAATATATCATCATTGCTTTTTACTTCTTTCCCGTACAAATCATTCCCACCTCCGCCATGCTTAACGGGGACCATACGATCGTAACAATGCAGGTGCTGTGAATAACAGGTTGGACATGGAGGACAAGGCTGATAGTAATATAAATATGGGTTGTAGTGCCAATTCTCGAACTGTTGATTTCCATAATATTGACTGTACGGATTATAGTACCGGTTCTCAAATTGATGATCACTGTAATAATGTTGGTAGTCATGGTCATACGGATAATCCTCTTGTTGATAATGTGCATTGTTGATATGGGAATTACCCTCGGTTTCTTCATCCTTCTTTATTTCTTTATTCACGTCTAACCTTCTATGAGTGGTGTTGTCAAAATCCTCAGAAAATACAACTGGCAGAGGTTCTGGTATTTTGGTCTATGAGAGTACACGAGTGGATGTATCTTTAATGTGACCGTTGCATATCATGAGTGTCAAAATTTTTCATACCTTGATGGATTCCCTTTCACTTAATAATTTTTCGTATGCCTCCTTATCGTTTTCCGCTGTCAATGGCCTTTGGTGGTGTTGGTATGAAATTTTATCTGTCGTCATAGAGTTCCACAAAATTATCGCATTTGATATTCTATAATTGACATGCCATGTCGATGAAAAGACGTTACAATACCTGGAAGTGCGTTAATATCAACATGGTAGTTTTGTTTCAGGTTGTTTAAAAATTCCAGACCATCATTATCAACGAAGCTAATTGCTAATCCATGGGTTCCTAACGGAAAACGAATGACGATATCAGAATCAAAGGAATTGACCTACGCAAAGAACGAGAAACTGCCTACCGTACCGTCCGGTCCTTCCAACACGATGTAAATAGGTTTCGGCATCTTTTGGCATATCCAAGTTCACCACCAGGTTCACCCTGTCTATGTCAATACCCCGGGCTATCTTATGAACAAAATATGCATAAACCAATAGTTCAATGTAAACTATGCCAAAGAATTTAAAGCTTACCAGATCGCTGCAAACAAGAACCCTTATTTGAAAACTACGAGCTTTTGACATGGTTTCCAGACGAGTCTTCTGATCTAGCCCGCCTATGTTGGAATATCGAATTTTATCATAAGCAACCTGATAAATGCACCCCGCATCTGGTTTTTAATGAATACCTGATATGTTCAGCGCCATCCACCCTTGACTTGTCAAATAATTCGCCAGGTCAATTGCTCTACAAAAAATGCATAGATAAATAAATATCATTGCCAAGAATTTTTACTGGTTGAACTCCACGAAAAAGTTTTCACCTTCCACGATGATTCAAAAATACGATGCACTGATAGAACGGAACTCGACTTAATAAGTCGGCCAACTTTTTGAATTTCTCTTCGTAAAATTTAAACTTTTCGACCGCATTGTCAGTGTCGAGTGTTCGCACCATTTGAAAATACTGAAGGACACCTTTATATTATACGCAAGGTAGTGGTATTGATTAATACGTGTTTTTCAAGGGAAATTTTGTAATAGAGCAATTAGCAGAAAGGGGACTCAGATATACCTTCGAGACTTGGTGTACCTTCGGATAGCATGATGTAGTGAGGATTTTGAACAAATTTCCCGAGTGTTTTCAATAAAGCCTTATCGTACGTTGCGGAAAATGATAGGACTTGCTTAATTTGAGGAAGTCGACTGTTAATTTTTCTAAGATCGGAAGAATGACACATGAAAAGAGTATAATCAACAAAATTTTAAAAAGAATTCTGAGAAGGGGAAATATGGTTTTGGCTTCTTTACTTTAGTTGGGCGACAAAATTCCTTTCCATCAACTTATCCGCCTCATCCAGCACAAGTAACTTTATATCATCAGCAACCATGTGCTTGTTGCTCAAGAGAAGTCCAATTCTTCCTGTTGAAATTTCTTCAATTAATAGGATGTCTTTAATGCCCAGAACCCAATTGCTCATAAATCATTCGAATCATTATACCAGGTGATCCAATTGCTATATGACACTTCCTAAGTTTCTGAAAATCTTCTTCGACGGGCAGCCCCCCGATAAATACATGACATTCTAATCCATTCAGGTATCGACCAATGTTACATATCACTTCTTTTGTCTGTACTGCTATTTCTCTGGTAGGTGCCAAAATTAAAACCTAGAGGAGTAATAGGATTATGAAAATTGTTGATACTTAATCCAATAAAGACGCTGATTTATTCATCTAAGCACCTGAGGACGAAGTTTACTCAAATCCAATATCTCCAATGATATAATTCCAAAAACAATTGTTTTCCCGGTCCCTGATTTTGCTTGGGCAATAACATCCAAACCCAATTTTCCCGGGGGAATTGCCTTTAGTTGAATTGGCGATGGCCGATCATATCCCGCCTCGGTTAGACCTCGTAGTATGTCTTTATTTGTGATTAATGATTCAAAGTTTACATCTTCATCGATATGAACATCTTTGGTGCGAACGATGTTAGCGATTGACATTGTGTATTTTTGATCTAGTGAAAATCGATTGCATGTGATCGAGTTGTAATTTTAACTGGACAGTATACTGATACTGTATACCTGTACATAAATTAAAATTTTATGCATGGCTCACGTTATTTACTTAAATTTTTTCTATGATAACGATTTCTTTACAGTAATATTTAAATTAAAATTTGAATATTCGATAAAGTATTTTATTATTTAAGGCATTAAACATGAAATAAATAGGAAATAAAATTTCTCAATTCTATTAATCATAAAAATTATTTGAATTTTAAAAATTTAATTATTATTATTTTGTTGAAACATTAGACTATACTACTTAAAAAATAAAAAAAATTTTATTTCATTTTTTTTGTTAATTTTTTTTTTTTATCATAAAAATATTAAATGTAAAACTTTATTAAATCAAAAGATTAAGGATATTTATAAAATAAATTAATCATAATCCATCATGATATTTTCAATAAAATATAGAGTCAACTCAAAACTATTTATATTATATATAATTAATATAAAAAATTATTGTCTTTTTAGTAGATTTAAGATTTTAGTTTTGATTAAATTATAATAATTTTATTTATTACCTTTGATATTTCTTCAAAAGTTTACTTTCTTTATATTATATTAGCAAAAAAAAAAATATTGTTAATATGTTTAATTTATTTATATAAATTAGTATAATATTTTAAGTATTTTATTAAAACTATTAATCAAATATTTTAAATTTTTGAAGTATAAAAATAGAAATAGAAAAATATTAATAATATAATTGTATTATTAATTTAATAGTTAACAATTTTTAAAGTATCAAATATAAATATTTGATTTTTCTTATAAAGTTTTAAAAAAAAGTCTTCAAATTTAAAATTTTTTTATTAATAAAATTAAAAATTTTTTACAATTAAAAATATATAATAAATTTTTTATTTTTTTTTGTTTAAACTATAACTAATATTAAATACGAGACTTTATTTGATAATTTAATTCCATTATCATTATATTAAACATCTTTATAGATTATATATTTCTATATATTAATCTATTATGGTTATCTTAACTAGACCTATTACTATTCTAAGGATAGATATATCTAACTAGTGACTGGATTATTAATACACAATTATAAATATTGATATTAGACCAATTAGTATAATGCCTATTTGACTTTATTAATTTACTAAACTAGTTCTTTTTTGTATATACCTGATAGAATATAAACATCCTCCAATATTCATAGATATTATTCACACAGATCTTGAAAGAAGACATATTAATTTCTTTATTATCATCATTGATATTGAATCAATTTCTATTAATTAATTTTTAATTAAGTGAAGTATTAAATTGAGATATCCTGAACTAAGAGAATAAAGGTCTTGAAAATTATCAGTGTAGAATAGTTTTGGAATATTTGTGATAGATTAAATCAGAAGTCTTTTTTTATGAAATTCTTCTAATAATATAATCTTTGAATCTTATTCTCTGATTGACAAAAGATCAAAAGTTCTATCTTTATACAATCTAATCTGTTTTTAGACTAGTTCTGAATAATTGAATATAACTTTCACTGAATAATTAATAAACCTGATCAAAAGAATAATTTTGATTTTTGGTTCTTAAGTAATATTAAACTACAAATCTTGTAATTGTGATCTGAGAGTACTATTACTATGCTATTGATCTACAAGTCTTATAATAAAATTTTTATATAAATATTATATTTAACATATATATAGACTTTTTTCACCAATTCTCTAATCACACACAAAAAAAAATGTTTGCAAGAAGTTTTATAGCTCCTTGTTAATAAAGTTTTTATATTTCTATTAAAACAACTTAAAGTTTGTCTTTATTTATTTCTTCTACTCTCCCTTACTTGTTTATAAACTCCTTTAAATAAAAACTTGAGTCTCTAGTGACCTGAAAAAACTCAAGTATACACTTCCTTTACTAAAGGCAAGAAGGTTCTAAAAAGTAAAAGGACTGACATGTAAAGTGTTATTTTATAGAGCTAGAAGCAACAAGAAATAAAGGTTCTATTGACAGGAAAAGGTTTATTATTTACCTTCTCATATACTATTTTATATTCTTTTAAAATATTTATTGTTTTTCATGATTTTTTTGAAAGATTTTGTCTATCTTAGTTTAATTCTGAATTTCTAATAGTACAATGTCACCTGACATTTGATTAGTTGACATGAAACATGTTAGTAGTTAAATATAAACAAGCTTCTATTAATCATCTCACATGTTTTGATAATATTATTGATAATTAAAAGAGTTGATTAGTGTTCCATATCGGTCCACTCCTTCAATTGGATTAATTTATAGATTAAGTTTCATAAGGTTAATAAGATATAAGTAACAAGTTCTCATGTAATGAAAAAGTTGCTATTTATTCAAGCTGGAATTTTTTTTTCCTATCATTTTAGTCAAATAAAATTCAAGACCAAGTTCTCTCTTTTATTTTAGTTAGGCAATTAGACCAAATAATCTTTAGTTCATACTAAGCTTCAATCCTTTAATTATAATTGAGAATACATTTCCTCAAAAGTTGTTAAAGAATATTACAATTGATGAGAATTCTTATCTCTTTCAAGACCCTTCCATTATTATAAGACAAAAAAATTATTGAAAAATCTGATCTTTTGAGTAATAGAAGATATATATCAGTAAAAATCCTTTAACTAGATGTGGCTGCTGGAAGGTATTATACTAAAACAATATGATCCAGTCCTTACTAGATTACATAAGAACCTGGGATTCATCATAAGTCACTCATCTATCACAAATGAATAAAAAATCACTATCCAAAAAAGGTTGAAACCAAGTATATTCTAGAAGTAAAGGCTCAAACTAGATGATAAGTTTTCTTAAACAGTATACAAGAAAACAATTAAGATTAAGAATAGATAAGTTTCTCAAATAGTCAGAATATCCCAATCGGGTATTTCTTATTGAGAAAAGATCTTAAAAAGTAGGTCTTTGGAAAAAACTAGAAATTTATTTTTCAAATTTTTACTTTTTTATTTTTTTATTGTTTATTTAGATATTTTTAAATGTTACACTTTCCCTTTTTTTATCCATTCTTTTGTAGTTTCCTGTATTTCAGCAACTTAATAAGATATATAGTAGTGACAATCTGCTGGCAATAATGCAGTGAACTAGAAGGGTTTTTACTGTTATGGGTCATGTGGGTGACGTGATTTATACGTGATGGTCTAGAATTCAAAAAAACTGAAAGTCTGGTATGAAAGATTGAGTGTTGCAAGATAAGAAACTATAGATAAGGCTTGGGTACTGATAAGGGAACTATGTGTATCTGAAAAAGTATGGAAAGTTTAGCAAAG